TTGCCAGGAACGCACGCGTCACCATTGCCGCCAGCCGCGTATGTGCGAGAGCATGTCGCCATACCTCATTTCAATAATGTGGTTGTGAGCGGACCACCACCACCGCTCATGGCTGCCTATTTCAGCGGCATCGGCGCGGTGCCTTGCAGCAGTGTCGATCCTTCTATGGGTACACCGATCGCCACTTATGTGCCAACGCCGGCGTTGCCGTCACCATCCAGCTCTGTACAGCAGCCGACGCATAGTCTACTGAAGACGCTTCCAATGCAACCCACGCTCAGCCATTTGGCCGCTGCGGTATCGCACACGCCGCCACTGCCAACGATGTCTTCAGCGACGGGCGTTGGTGTAACCACTTTACCGCCGCCGCTACCATCGGTTGTTGTTGGCGCAGCCACTATGCCGCTCGCGGCGCATTCTCCTAAGGCTGGACCCGCCAGTTTGCTGGCTTGTAACAGCGCTGCCAACAATACCGCTGCCTCGACGTATAACAGTATTTATGGTAAATTACGTGATACTTCTCCCGTCTTGGTGTCGTCAACTCTGAGCAGTGCAGCGACGCCGTTGGCCGGCACCACTGGCACATCAGTTAACGCTGCACAGACAATTGTCTCAGCAAACATAAGCCTATCTGAGTATTTGGACACCAAAGTAAAAAGCTATAGCACAACAATGGGCGCTTATGTGTCGCAGACACATGCGTATATAAGTGGCGGCAGCGTAAGCAACACAAGCAGCTTGCTGCAGAGCGTGGGAAAAGCAACGAATAGCAGCACGTCCAGTAACAGCAATACTGTTGTAGAAAACTCATCCGTCGCAGCTATAGCAATTGAGGCTCCGGTAGTCAGTAAATTGCCAACACCAATGAAATTGCCGCTCACACGTACAGCCAGCCATGACCCGCGTCTTAATCCACAGTTGAATTTGCCTGAACCACCACCTGCGCCGAAGCGCAAACTTTCTATCAACGAGTATCGTAAACGTATGCAGTTGTCATCGGATGCGACAACGCCTGGTACACCCGACATGCCAGCGACGTCGGTTAGTGCACCAACAACACCAGGCAACGCCAGCAATTTGATGTCAAATTCCTTGAACAACAGTTTCGTGCAAGCTTATAACAGTATTGTTAATGCTTCGCCTGAGGAGATGGCCAGGCAATTGTCCTCTTCGCCAACAACGCTGACACTCAACAAATACACACTCAATTCGCCGGAGCGCAAGCGCCATCACAGTGGATCCGAGATAGAGCAGCACCATAAGCGTCACAGTGCTTCATATGATGATGTGACGGGGCTGTTGAATAGCAGCACCGGCAGCAGCAGTTGTGGCAATACGAGTGATACATCATCGACAAATCTGAATAACGAAGATGATGGCAGGAAAGGTGAGTGTTATGGATATGAATATTTGGTGTGGGGAAATATCGCACGTTTAATAATATAACGAAGTATTTCAAAATTTTAATTTTGTGGGAAAACGTAATCAATGTTTTATCAATTCATACTGTTGGTATACAAAAATATAGATGGAAATACATATATCTTCGCCATTACTTGGTAAGTTTGGCTATCTGTTAGACTGAACATATTCTACTCGCCAAGCTTATTGATTGCATAATGAAATCTCCGAAAACGTAAATTTTGAGTCACATCTCTTTATTATTAAAAACGAACGCTATAAAAAATATAGTGAGCTTTCAAGAAACCCCGTAAAATAATCATAAATTAAAAATGAATTGAACTGTATAGAATTGTAAAAATATTATTAAAAAAAAAAATCATGAGAAAATCTATATATGTACTTAGTATAAAGGAAAGTCGAGATTCTTTGTACGCGAAAACTACTGAACGGATTTTGACGAGATTTTCTCTAATATATTCTGTATTGATAATTAGAATTTTAATAGGATTGCCACCTGTTAAGAAAATTACTATATTCAATTCTAATAAGCGTAGGCGTCAGTTCTGCACCGTCATTGTCAAATAAAAAGACAGCCTCTGGATGTGTAATGTATTATTTTTCTGAATAGGGTTGCCACCGGTTTGAAAATTATAAGATCACCGTTCGTTGGATAAGAAAATGAGATACCAAATGAAAGTGCATGGCCCATGGCCTTCGCATAAACAAAAACTTTAATTTTTTGAGTAGGGTTGCCACCTATTTAAAATTACTACCTTCTATACATAGTATAAGGGAAAGGCGAGATATGTTAACCACGCTACTGAACGGATTTAGATAAGATTTTGTTTTATGTATATAATAAACGAAGTACATGAGGGCATACGATTTCCTTCTCCAAATACGTAAATGTACATACATATGCATAAATTCCGTGGCCGGCTAGTTAACTTATAAATACCAATAACATAACTATATTGCTTTTCAGGCCAGTTCAGCGCCGCGCCTACACTACTTGAAAAGCAACAAGAAAAGCTATGTGAGCGTTTGAAGCTACTGCGAAACATGAACAAGGGTGTATCATCGCTAAGCAGCGCAGCCAGTGAGTTTGCAAGTCTTAAAAAGGGTAAGTAGCGTCGATAGTTGCCTTTTCATTGCTTTAAACACTTAGAGCTCTTTGAAAAACGCGTTTATGTGTTCTACATCCTTTTGCAAATCAACTAAGGAGTCGATGATCAATAGCTTAGAGCTTAAAAATAATTTTATAACCTCAAAATTAACGTCAACTTTTCCCCTTTTACTCTCACAAATTTCAGATTGTGATCTCTATGTGAATCGCACTAACAGCATCTCGTCCACAGACAATTTGGACAATTGTCTTGAAGAAATTTCTTCTTCATCTTCATCATCAACGTCGACATCACGGGAATCATCACGAGATGCAAGTCCCGAACGAGGTTGTGTTAGTAGCAGTAGCGCAAGTACAAGTAAGCGGGCGACAAGCACCACCGCCACCTCCAACTCAAACCATAAGTGGTCGAATGAGGCAGAAACAACTGCCAATGCGGCGAGAGCTGCCACTCCATCAAGAGATGAGGCCACAGTTGTTGCGGCGAGAAGTGGCAATGATTCAGCGACGTGAAGGAATCAAGATGGTGTAGGCAAAGTAAATGAAAAAAGTTCATGTGCTGGTTAAAAAAGATATGGTAGCAATATATCTAATGTGTTGGTAAGGTTGCTAATAAATCAAGTTAGAGCTGCAGTACTACAGTAGCGCCAGTGCAAAAAGACACAAGCAAAAGATGCAATATTAAAGCGATTATTTAAAATTTTATCTTTCCTTAAACCAGTCTGCTGTTGCACTTGAGATTACTAATTTTTTACTTGTAACATACATATGTATATGTACTTATGGCAGAGTAGAATTGAAAAATAGCCAAACATTTTAGACAAAAATTTATAACTAAACGAATCGAAAAGAAATAAGTAACTTGTTGGAGCGCGATGTTTATGAGTTAAATAGTAACACAAACTAGCAGCGAAAATGTTAAATGAATTTTCAATACCCCTACATAGTACATACTTGCTTTATATACCACAGACGTTAATATAGAGTAAGTTTTTAGTTTAACAGCCTATAAAGAAATTTATTATTAAAATGAAGTTAAATGCTAAATGTAAATAAATAATATAAATTAAAATTAGTTAATTGCAGCGTGAATATAAATAATTAATGTTAGTTTACAATGAGAAAGCGTAAAGCAGTAAATGCTGAAAACAAATATGCGTTGAGTCATTTTGATGTTGTCAGCGTGCCAAATCAGCGAAGTTTTTGTTTAAAACATCAATGCTAATCTTTAATTATATTCTGCTTATTTGAAATACTTTTGCAGCAGGATTTTATTTAGCACTTTTCCTTGTAAGATCACCATAGTTAGCACTTTTTTAAAAGGAAATTATAAGCGTCAAATCGTTTACATCCAACACTTTAAACTTTACGTTTCGCTTTTGATTGGATTTTGTTGTATATTAATTTGATGACTACAAAAACCTCTATATTTATGTTGCATTAATTCGTTATTTTTAGTTTCAAAACCTGAAGAAACGCATACTCTACTATGGACATAAAACATTATCTAGAAAAGCATTGCTTGCTTTTACTCGAAAGAGCATGGCAAATGAATCACTGTGCGTACATTTAACATTTCAAGCACTCGGATTATTTAATTATTTTCCCTTTCTTTTATTATTTCATTACTCAGTTTCCAGTTTCTCTTTAATTCAAAATTTTTCATGCTGTTTTGTAGTACTCTAAATCCTATTTAATATAATCAAAATCCACAGCGTATACTTAATATAAGTCAATGCAAAGTAATTATTTTTTTTTAATTTTACTAAACTGCTTACATCAGTGTATATATAAATTTCTTTGTTTTTGTTGCTCAAAGCATTATCTACATTTTTTTGGGTATGTGAGGGGTATGTGAAAGAGAAAAATAAAATAAAAACTTGGAAAAACAAAGCAAAAATAACAACAGTTCATTAAAAAAAACTCGTAAATTGGTTTTGTCGTTATGCGGCTGAAAAAAAAATTAAAAAAAGTCAAAATGCAAAATGCAGAAATATTGAATTACGCAAACTGTGCGCTGATAACGATGGTTGGCAACAATTATTTGTTCGCCTAAACCGCTTCAAAACAAAAAATTCGCAAAAAAAATGCCTTTGAAATGCTCAGAAAATGCAGAGATAAACAAAAAATCCGTAGAATGCCAAGACACTCCACCGGAAAATTCAACTGAATATTCTATTTTTTTATTTAATCATTATTTTTTTACTTTAAGAATAATTCTTAATCTAGAAATTCGACCCAAATAAACAATTTAAGGAAGTTATGAAAAACTTCAGCCTTTTCCTTACAAATTGAGCTATGCTTAATTCTTTTGGTAATCTTGCGCTTTCCAGTTATTTGAAGTGTCGAAGCTATATATTTTTTAACAATAACATTCTAGTTAGTCGCTTAGTTTTTATACCAGTTTCATAATTTTTAAACCTTAATATATTTTTTCATACATTTTTTCAACATACTCACATGATTTACTTTTACTGCTACAATCTAACACGCAGTCATTGTTCAACTACAGCGAGAATGGAGGCGGCGCATTAAAAATTAATAAAAAATTAATGCTACTTACCTTTATGTACATATGTACATAAATGTATAACGTAAATTAAGTGCTTCTTAAATTATAACTTAAAATAAAATTTTTTAAAAATTTAAAAATAATATTAAGTGGAAGTGAATAGGCAGGAATAAAGCTGAAAAAAAATTAAATAAAAAAAAAATCTGCAAAATTTCTAAAATAGTACAAAACAGTTTAAAATAAATCAGCGTAAAAATATGTATGTGTGTTAAAATAAATGTGTTATATATGCGTACATTTTAGTTCTGAAGAAAAGCTAATCGGGGCTATTGCTGAATCCATCGTAGTTCGCAGAATTCGAATTGCTACAAGCGTTATGTATTCGAATTATATGCTAAGTTCGTAACTATTTCGTAGAATTTTCGAAGAATTCACGAAAAATCGGGCTGCGATGAATTCAGTGATAGCCCTGAATATTTAAATTAAAATTAAAATAAAAGTTAAAAAAAAAATGAATTAATAACATTAAAATAACTAGTTATAAGTGTTGATATACACAATCAAATTAAAATCTAAAATAAAAAAACTAAACATGGAAATTATAAAGTTATGCCTACAGTTATAAAACGTATTCTATTATAAAACTTAAAAAAAAAATATTGATTGTACCACCCTTATGTAGATAACATCCCTGTTTATTTAACTCAAAACCTTAATTTAAAAGTTTGTAAATTTTACATGAAATAACCGCAAGTTCAGCAGCGTGCTAGAAGTGTAGCAGCGCTAGTGGTGGGTGGTGTTGGCGGCGGTGATGACGTGCGTGCGCCCGCGCGCCAATGTTTGCTTTATTGACAGTCTACACAAATCTGCTATTTTGATTTTTTGTTGCACACGCTTTCTATGCAGGCATAGAAATCGTTAATTGGTGTACTCAAATTACAAATAAAAATAATTTAACCCTACTGCCGCTTCCCTCCTCTCTTACTTCATTGTTACTTCTGCCCTTGCTGTGGTTAATCAAAAAGGTAATTAATAAAAAGGTAATAGTGTGCCTGAAATATGCACCTGCGCGTTCGCCGCCGCATACATGTCCACACATTTTTGTAAATATGTAGTATGTATATAAATTTTTGGTACTAGCTTACTAAGTTTCAAAAAAACATAAAAATGAGGGAAAATAGAAATGAAAAAAATAAATCAAATGAAATTTAATAATCCTTTATAACTACATACTTAGTATATACATAAATATAATTAAAGTTATAATTAACGAACGAATTAAAATGAGTGAGCGCCGCATATATAGACACACACACACACCCATCGGCTAACCCAAATACCCAACCCCGATGCCATACCTAATTAAATACTTGTTGCTGTGTTTCTTGTTTGAAGCTGTGGACGATGCACAACGGGTGTTGTCGGTGTCTGGACGCAGGTGTGCGTGTGTGTGTTAAGTGCGTTTTGTTATAAATATTGTGTATTTTTAGCACTTTGTAAATACATACTTGCATATAAATACTATATGTATATTTTATTACAGATACAATAAAGTAACCATGAATAAAAAGCATAAACAAATAAATAAGCAAGCAAGCAAAGCGTTGTACTATCTTCGCGTAGCTAAAATTACATAATTTTACTTAAAAAAAAAGAAAAAAACACCACTATGTATAGTAAACTTGTAAAAATAAACTTAGCGTAAATGTAAATTTAAACTTATTTTTTCATTATTAATACATTTTATTTTTATTGTCTACATTTACTTTAATTGTTTACTTTTAATTTATCACTTATGAGAGAATTTAATTGGCCTGTGACCCTAAAACACACTTACACCAACATACACACATACACTCACACACACATGTATACACATCCCAAACCCAATGTGAAAATAAAAATTTTTATACTTGAAAAAATAATTAGCGTTTGCTTTTTTGCATTCTTTCTGAAACTTTTTTTTTTTATCTTTTCTATGATTTGCTAGCTTCGTGTTTTGAGATTTGTGCAGGGAAATGAACTTGAATTTTTGTATTTATTTATTTTTTTGGTTCTTTCTTAAGTCGGCGTTAGTTTGTTGATCGTCAGCTCTACTGTGATTCGTATTGATGGAGTAGCGCTGCAGTGAATAGCAGCTGATGTTAGCAAAATGGAGTAATCGATTTTGTTAACTGAAAGGTTTCTAGCGCCGTAATTTGATATATACATACATTAAGCGCTATTGCTGAATTCATGGTAGTTAAAAATTCTGTGAGTTATCACGGACTACTGCCTGATGACGAGATTGTAGATCATCACCTATGTATGCCACTGCTCCCACGCATGACCCATCGACCATCGTTCCATCTCTACCATCTTGAGTGTCGGGTTGTACTGAGTGCGACCAGTATCTACGATTTTGACTTTCATCTGATTTTCACGGTACCAAATTGGCTTGTTGCGACCTAAGTGTGCCTGCCTCTTTCCCACTTTCGATGGAGGCAGCCACAATAGAATAACTTAGTCTGACTTTCACTATAAAAAGTTGTGAATTATATATAAATACTTTGAGTTCGCCCGCCCCAAGAGTAGATATATAAAATTTGATAATGCATGCTTCCAAATATTTAATTCTTTTATAAATTTTTGAGAAATATCGATAATTAAAAAAAAAATTCATTTTCCAAAAAAACAAATTTCCAAAATCAAATAAATTATTTTCCAAATCAGAAAAAAAAATTCGAAACAAAGATATAGATATAGTTTTCCAAAACTATAAAAAATAGCTTTCCGAAAAGAAAAAATTCTCAAAAAATAAAAATCAAGGCTCGAATTGTAACATCCGTTCACGGATCGAAAAACATACGAAAGGAAATTACGTGATACATACGTCAGTCGTATAAGTTGAATGGGATAAAGTAATACGAGCCCCGGCCTATAGCCAATCCCATTAAAATAAATCGTTCCCATTATTTAACAGTCAGAAAATAAACAAACAATTTGGGAAAAATAAGTTTTGTTTTGCTTTATGGTTTTTGAGAATATTTGTTCACATGGAATTCACGATATGGCCGAATAATTGAAAACAAAAAAAAAAAAAAAAATTCTGAAAACAGAAAAAAATTGTAAACAAAAAATAAAATTTCAATTAACTTCACTGGTTTCAACAGTATTTATAAAATTTAATTTAATTTTTTGTTAACATTCAGCATTATCGGGAATTCTTTCTATGTGACCAATATTCCCAATTATTTGTTTTTAAAGTAAGGGATAGATCTGATTTAACTTAGTAACCAAATTCGAAATACATATACATATATTTTAAAAACTACATACTTTTCAAATTGTTTGATTTTTTTTTTGTACAAAATTTGTTTTAATGAATTAATTTCTTTTAATTTGTATTACTAGTTTTTTAAGTCAAAAACAGTAAAATCAAATATTGCGCAAAAATTTGTATGGATGAAATTAATTAAAAACAATTAAAGAGAAAATTTAGTCGGATATTGCAACAAAATCAAATCCAATTTTAAATCTTAAAATTTAAAAAATAATCACCAAATCGAAAGAAACAAAAATGGAAATTTTAGTACATACACGTATGCTTGTAATAAATACATACAATTTTATGGTTTGAAAAATTTTAAAATTTTATAGCAGAAGGAAACAAAACAAGCTAATTGGCAAAATCAAGAAGTAGAAAGAAAAAAAAGAATTACCAACTACATAAATCAAAAACAATTTTAAAATAAATTAATACATTTTTTGCGTCTGCATAAGTTTTAATATTTATTTAGTTGCGATTTGAAAAAAAAAAATAAACTAAGTTTATATTACAAATTCATAACATTAAAAAGTGCAGAATTAAACTAAAATATGTAGTCCTAACCGTCGTATGTATGTAGCTGACATTTAAGCGTTTGCTAAACCTTATGTTAATTTGTAAAATATATGTATTTAAAGCATTACATTAATAAGTATTATAAGTAATTACATATAAGCATAATTCTTACTAAAGAAAAAATCGGAAGGAAAACTCCAAAAAAATTATAAAAATAAATGAAAATAACATTTTAAACATAAATAGAGATATGATTTATATTTTTAGTACATATTTTCGGAGTGGGTTAAAGATGTTTAAATTTCCTTTTTACATCGTAGAGAAGCATATAACTCGGGTATGGACATATATACATATGTACATATGTTCTTTAGACCGTACCAGAAAAAAAGTACGTCGTACAACCCTGGGTCTAAAGTGCATATGTATTTTGGCAAGGCAATTTCAAAAAAAAAATTCTTTTGGCTTGTCTAGAGAATTTTTTTCTACAGTTCATAGACCTTAAGTGCTCCGTTCTAGTACTCATCCACCAGATCTCAGTTTTTATCAACATATCGTACCACCCTTGTGTAGAATATTAAAACTAATCAGCCTCATTGTGTAAGTCGTTAAAATTAGGCTAAATTGTACGACTCGACAACATTGGCATTGTCTACTGACGTGCTGAAATAAATAAGCGACGAAAATCGTCAAAAACTATACAGTGCTGCCAAGTTTTTCCGTTTTAATACATACACTAGTCGAGTGGAAATTTTGGGCAATGATGTGAAATTTTCGATACGATTCCACTCTCGAAAAACGACTTGCATTCGACACGACTCGCGCAATGAGGGTAAATATAAAATCATTAAACTTTTGCTAAAAAGTATTTTTTTATTATTCCAGTAGAACTATTTAAAAAATGCACTGCCGCGTCCACGTTGTGCGATCTTAGCACCGGTAGACCTTTTTATTAAAGAAATACTTCACTGAATACCCCTAGGCTAAGACAACTGGAATTGAGGGAAAAGTTTTCTTTATGGACATATGTATATTTATTCTATTCTCATAGTAGAATGGACTTCATTTGCCCAAAAATCGTATTCGATAAAAACTTCGACAACAAACCTTTCCTCCCAAAAAAGAATTGGAATGACTATACAGGAGTTCACCATTTTAGGTGTAAATTTCCTACGTAGCAATCTAGCACATGGTTTGTTATTGTAAAAGCAACAAAACGCATGCTAGATTGCAACGTAGCATCTTTACACAAAAACGGTACAGATCGTGAACTCCCCTATTGTGTTTTTGTCATGCTACGGCATTCATATGCATGCTCCAAAAGCAAGTGTTTATCACGGCTGATTGTGACGTTTTTGCTATCAGCGAGGCATACCGAGAACAAACATTGTTACAGACAGCCAAGACAATGTAGAGCGAAGATTACGGCTTAGGCCCGAAGACATAACGTTGCCTTGATTTGAGTGCAGGGAATTTACAGCATTCATGCCCACGAAATGGTTGGTGGGTGACTCTCTATTGGTCAAAAAAAGTTGTTATGCCTCTAGGTTGTATTTACGACTACATTCCCCAGCAATGGTCATAGACGGCTATCCGAAAGGGGAACAACATAAAATTCTTCTGACTTCGATGGATTCTGTGATAGCCCTGATTGTCTAACCTTACCGCAGCTTCCTTCGAGCACTCACGCACCTAGAATGGGTCTGGGCAGAAACCTTTCCAGTCGCAGCTGTAACTCACCGGCTCCGAAAGAAAACGTAGAGGATCTTCTCGCACTCGTTTGCTGGTTTAACAAAATTGATAGGCAGTAACCTATTGACCATTTTTCCTTTTGTATCCCTATGGTATTTAGTTCCTAACCATGACTGTCCAAGATATTATCAGGCTCCCTAATAAAAGCTAACAGTTTCTTGGTAGACGAACTCCTTATCATACTGGCTTCGACTGTGGAAGAACTGAAGTATTTTAGTACATTTCTGGCCAATTCCAGACAATCACACTGTCCTCTGACGACTACGGTAAATTCCTCTCAGTGGATAGTCCAATCTGGTACATTTGAGAGCGCAGGTGGTTATGACCGATTAGGTAACTAATATTCTATTCAAAAGATTTATATCTCTCCTAGGAAAGGATAACCAATAAGTCTATCCTCTCTAGTACTTGTTGTTTCTGAGTTTACCCACGCACCGATTATGAGTCTCGAGGAGGACCAACTGAATCCACAAAACGTTTCTTATCTCACAAGTGAAGAAGATGAGCCTTCCATAGCCACAATTCAACGGTGGTGTTGTTACCTACAATCCCGCAGTGGCCTGGTGTCCAGCATAGTAATACCGTGTTCCTAGCTGTCAAGAGTTGGAGAGTGTCAAATTACTCCTTGACGAGCCTAGATGGGATCGTCCTATTAGATAGGCACTTTCCTCCCTTGACGTCAAATCCTCAGTGATCCCAGAGTGTGTAGAGTCGTGTAATGCTCTGATTGTGAAAAGTGCTATCGATGGAGTCGAAGTTAACCAGAATGGCTGCTGCCTCAATCCCGATAGGACCTGATTGCTTCATTTCCTTAGGTCCCAACAAGATAGACGAGGCGCTCAGTAAGGAAAATACCAATCTAATGGGGTGCAATGTGAAAAGATACAGGTTGACGGGTCATTGTAGGCTAAAAGGCCACTTGCATAATCTAGGAATCTGATCAAGCGCTCTAGTATGTCGCTTCTGTGACTTTGCCAAGGAGACACCATTACATCCCCGTTCTGGATTGTGAGTGCGTTTCATGTAGAAGGATATCTATGGCCAAGAGAGAAGCACATACACTAACTCTCTAAGAT